TTTTGGTTCAGTGATGGCTGCTTACCAACCAGGGGGTAAACCGTTATAGGAGGAATAGAACACAACAAAAATACTGAAAACAATTGGATGAAAGCAAAAATGTGATAGAGAAATTGGAACCATACTCAAACACAGGAAAATTCAATGAAGCGAGCACTGTCATAGAATAAGTATGCCATACACTCTCAGTGGTATGACAAAAAGAAACAATCTAAGAGAAATGTGATAATGTACTTGTACCTAACAATATCACACTCCGGCACACCACAGGAAATGACTACATCCTACCCTCGGCCATCTCCAAGGGGCGCAAGGCATTGATAGGGCGATGTTACGTGGAGCGCGCTCTTCTTACACACATGATGGTTTCGCGAAGTACCGCAAAGTATAGCTGACATTGCAGGTAAGACATCACTTGCCCATAAGGTTTGCCATCATGCTTCGCAAACATGCCACGCAAGCGCTTAAGAAACATTCGTGGGATGTTCTGCCAGTCGTGGAAAAGACAAGCGGAGTAAAGTTCGAAAGGTGAACATGCACAATCTCTTCATTGTACTGCAATTTCTTCTGCCTCTCGTGTTGCAGAAAAAGCGCAGAAATATTCCTACAAGCATATGGAGCTGCATGTGGATGGAACACTAGTGCATCGATAACATTTAATACGTTTTGCGCACGAGTCCAAAACCCTCATACTCGAAGTGCGCGAATGGCCGACCTTGTGTCACTTGCTGTGATTGTACTGGCTGCAGTGAATACTTCACCCTGAAAGGGAGCTAACAAACGTTCAATCGTTACATCAGGCCAAACTATAGGTAGCAAATCAGCAAAGATGTCACGCACTTCCTAATATTATAACATTGTTCCTGACGGTGGGGAAGCCCCCCCCCCCCCCTCCCGTCGGAAAGCACATGGCATGTGCTGGAGTGAAATCCTTGCAACATACTAACAATAATGGTACATTTTTCAGAGGCCGTCCATATCTCAATACAATGGCATCGCGGAAGTCACAACTCGACAGGCTGAAACCATGCTCCTTCAAGGGAAGAATATTCAGCCAGCCAGAGACACCCTTGGCGGAAAGGTGCTCAAGCTGGCGAACAGTTGATGCATCTGGCATCCTACGCACGTCAGCACATCGCAGGTTATCGATTTCCACGCGACGTTTTGCAGCAGCAGCTTTGGCACGCTTGGCGGAATCACAGGCCAGTTCAATAGAAACCGATGAAGATGACGCTTCTTTACAGTCAGTTTGTGATTGAAGGAACTCGAACAAGATTATAAGATCATAGTAAAAACAAGGCATTTATTTTTATTTCTTACTTGCATGTACGAGTGAGCTAGAACGATGATATAATGATTTAATTATCATATACAATGTAGCTCACGGGTATTGAAGATATGTCATTTATGAATATGGCTATATGTCATTGAATATTGCAGCCTGAGTGATAATAATAGTGCTATTTCGTGCAGCAGCGAACCCAGCTTGCGCGTTGTCCTCCACTCTTCATCGATCCTGTCCGCACTTCTGAAGATGTCCGTATACTCAGTTTTGTCCCGGTTCATGATCAGGGACCACTATGGTAGCACCGTGCTGACAGTCGCCTCCACGTCCGCCAGCCAGGACTTTGAGGTGCTGACAAAGTCTGCATCATCCGCATATACAAGTTCGAGCGGCAGACTCTTGTCTGGTGAGGTGTTTGTCGCGGCGTCTACGAATACAGCGGATGATGCCCGGGCAGACATTCGCGCGAGGGGGCTGTGGACCCGGGCCCAGAACGCCTACATGGACGTTCGAGTATTTAACCCTGATGCGCCTTCCTATGCTGCGTTTTGGCAGAGCACCAGCGCAGAAAGAAATCTGAGTTTGCTGAACGCATAATCAATGTGGATCGTGGTACATTCACTCCTCTCATTTTCACCACGGCCGGTTGTTGTGCGCCAGAGTGCTCGCGTTTCATCAAGCGTTTGTGTGGTCTGCTTTCCAGGGGAGAGAAAAAGAAGTATGCAGGGATGACGACATATGTACGCTGTCGCCTCGCCTTTGGATTATTACGGTCAACTATTATGTGCATTCGCGAAGCTAGATCATCGTACCACCGACCAGTCAACGCACTGCGTGAGTTGGCGGTAGCTGAGGGACGCCTGTGAGTGGCTGAGAGACAATGGCCGTTTACATCACATTCAGAGGTCTGGATTTTAAATTGTTCTTTTCTGAAGTTAGTTGAACTATGTATGATTGGATTCGTTTCATGTTGGTTTTGGGCATTCCGCCTGGAGAGCTCTGTGACAGAACTTTGCAGCTTAGAGAGCGTGTGTGGGCAGGCGTGTGTTTACCGCCATATTGCCAGGTGTGTCTTTACCACCATATTCATCAACCATAAGTACAGCTGCAATGGTGTCTTCAACTTAATTCTGCCGAGTCAAGCTCCGTATGAAAACATCCAAGAAGAAGATTGCCTGATGAATCCAGCGGGGACGAAGCGTACGTCGCAATCGAGTTATGTTGTTGCTGTGTCATCTTCTATGTGCCATGCGCTACTTGATGTACCAGCCTGCTATGTCGGATACCGCCAACCATGCATTGACCAGGCGCCAGGTGCAAACTGATGGTGGTGGTGGTGAGAAGGAGAGCTCTGTGCCAGAACTTTGCAGCTTAGAGAGCGTGGCGTGTGTTTACCGCCATATTGCCAGGTGTGTCTTTATCACCATATTTATCAGCTTGGCAAATCATTTCATCTAATGTGGCCTGATATGAAAAAAGCCAAAATGTGTGTTCCCATGAAAAGGACATCACGATACTAGAAACAGTTTGCTGGGTAACTCATGTTCATCTCGCTAAACTCCTGCTTGGGTCAGAGAGTCAGAGAGTCAGAGAGTGGTCGAATAGCAGTCCAAATTGAAATCTTGATGAATGCGTTATCTTTGAAAGACAATTCAAAACAAAAAAGACTTTGTAGACACATTGTGCAGCATAAAAGTCAATCAGTCACCAAGACAAGATTTGAAGAGTTTCACTGGAGTCTCCGAAATAAGAATAATGCACGATAAACATGCTTGTACGCGATCAGAAAACCCAAAAAAGAATCAGCTTGAAGACCAATTCACGCCTCCATTGTTGTTTTCTCAGAAATTCCGAGTCCAAGCTTAACAGTGTAGTTAAACCCTCATTCCATGTTAACTTTTTTTACTACGTTTCCAGTTTACTGGGGTCCTTTTGCACACCAGGAATATATTGTTCGGTATTCTTGCAAACTCTGCATTTTATATAACTTTTGTGCTGTGTTACCTTCCCATAGACCAATGCTTTGACCAAACTGCATTTGTTGACAGCTCTGAAGTTTGCCGGGATAATTTGCAAGTTGCAAAATACCAGCCAAATAGATCCTGGGGTCCAAAACGACCCCAATATACTGGAGCATAGGAAAAAAGGCAACATGGAATGAGGGATAATGCCTGTAGGAGAACATTTTCTTGTAGGGCTGTAATGGGTAGCCGAGTGGTAGGCGCGGTGAAATCAACAAGAATTACTTTTATTCTACTTCTTTCAGGTACACACCTGAGATATAATTATTAGTGAAAGAAGAAACGGCAAAATAACTGACTTTCTCTCCGGTGCACACCTGGAGGTTGAATAGCTCGATATTTATCAAAATCTCTCATCTTCATCAAAACAGAAATGCGCAGCCGCTTTTATGCAGCAGACACCGTACGCTTACATACGGAGATACACTAAATATACATCAGGCAAAGCTCCGCATTAGTTCCGTACTGCTTCCGTATTGGTCGGGCAGGGATACTACAGGGCCTCATAGGTCAGTGGATGTCATCCATATGTTCGGTGACCATGGAGATAAATACCAAAACTAACCTCTAACCCAAATTAATTATGTATCTCGGTTATGCCGTTTTCATTATGCAGAGCTCACGGACTTGTCAGTTTGAGCACTCCGGCAAGGTATGTTCGGGCCTGGTTTAAGTAGGGCTTTAAATAGGGCTTTGCAAAATAACATTTTTCATTGCTATCAGGTTCTGCCTCATTTTATCTGTTCTGCTCTGATAAATCCACAAAGGACGAAACAGGTCTGGAACAGGTCTGTCCGCAGATTGAGTATTTTGCTCCTGCTCTTGTAGCAGTTGAGCACTCTGGCAAGGTGCGTTCTGGCCTGGATTAAATAGGGCCTTGAAAAAATTATTTTTCTTTGCCATCAGTTTTGTCCTCATTTCCTTTGTGCTGCGCTGATGAGTCCACAAAGGACGAAACAGGTCTTTCCGCAGATTGAGGATTTCGCTCCTGCTCTTCTAGCAGTTGAGCACTCTTGTGTGGGGTAGCACTTTTGGCGTTTGGGTTATGCAGAGCTCACTGACTTGTCAGTTTAAGCGCTATGACAGGGTTCGTTTGGCCTGGTTTAAATAAAATAGGGTTTTGGAATTTTTCATTAGACACCCTTAGCAAACAACGGTAACGCTATTTTTTACGGTACTCGTAACTTGATCACCCAAATAGCGTTGAAGCTGCAGTGGAAAAACGTTATGGGGACTGATTTATCGTTGTGATCAACTGTACGTTTTTTGGCCAAATATTGCATAGTCCGTACACATTTCACCTTGTATCGCGTATATGGTAACATAAATAGTTGTACCGCGCGAAGTAAAAGCTGTTCTCTTGGCAACAACGTACTAAAAATAGCGTTCATCTTGCTAAGGTCGAGTCCAAATCATGATATTTTCCCCCTTACGGTAATACCGTTACAACATAACGTTGTTTGCTAAGGGTGTCTATTGTTATCATGTTTGGCCTTATTTCCTCTGTGCTGCGCTCATGAGTCCACAAAAGACGAAACAGGTCTGTCCGCAGATTGAGTACTTATCTAGGGTATTGTGTTGTTGAGGAATACAAGAAATTTCAAGGAGATGTGATGCAGCAAAGTAAAAATATTTCAAAAATCATACCCTGGGGACCCTTTGGACCCAACAACCCGGAATGACGGTTAACTTACAGTTGCCCAAGCTTTGGTAGGTTGGCAAATACGTTTGTAGGAAGGCTTGTAAGTTGATTATTGTCCAGGCGTCTACAAAAGGAGAGGAGAAAAGGGGACTAAAAATATTTGCGAATATTTGGGTTCAGTGATGGCCGCTAACAAACCAGGCGGTAAACCGTAATAGGAGGAGTAGAACACAAGTCAAGGATCTAAAAACAATTGCATGAAAGCAAGAATGTGATAAGTAAATTGAAACCATACTCAAACACAGCAAAATTCAATGAAGCGAGCACTGTCATAGAATAAGTATGCCATACACTCTCAGTAGTATGACAGAAAAGAAACATGCTAAGAGAAATGACATAATGTACTTGTACCTAACAATATCACACTCCGGCACACCACAGGACGACGGGTCATTTGTTGGTGAGCCTGATGCGGTGGCTGGTCTGGTTGAGGAAGAGGGTGGATAGTTGGACGCGCGAGTTGCATAAGCTGTCTCGGTTTGCCAAGACGGAACCACGTGCTGCCTATGCAGCACTAGCCTATGGTTTACGGTGTAGGTGGGTGTACCTTTTCCGCACTGTGCCCCTCCCGGATGTGTGCGTCAAGAGCTTAGACAATATCATCGCTTTCAAGGTTCTCCAAGCACTGACGGGTCGTGGTGCCTTCACCGAGGGCGACTTACGCATGCTGAGACTGCCCACCCGGTTTGGTGGAAATCCCGTCGTTCCAGAGGATGAGTCAGACGGAACTTGGCGCGTCAGTGAAAATGACAGAGGCTCAGGTTGCTGAACTAGTCAACCAGAACAACACATCCTGGAAAAGACGCCGGACTGAATGCATAAGGGAGGCTGATTTTAACGCAAAAAGATGCACCGGCAAGCAGCGAGCTGCATCAAGTGAAAATAACTTCAAGCTGGTGGAGCAGGCTGCATCGCTTGATGGGGCTCGTCTATGATCCCCATATGTTCCAGATTCAAGTTGTGCAGAAGCTATATCTGGGCTAGGTTCAAGAACGCTTGTCATGACTCGCTTGAGTACTTTGGGTGGGTAGCCATTAGAACACAGAATATCCTCTAGCTTAGCAATTTCAGCTGATAATTGTGATGGTGATCAGATGTTTTCACTTCTGAAGGTTAAAATGATCTCATCAAATTAATTTTGTTTTTAGTGTCACAAAACGAGTTCCAGCGAGTGTAAAGACCTGTGAACGTCGGCTTTCTATATACTGTGGTGAGCAATTCTGTGGAAGAATGCTTAATCAATACATCAAGAAACGGCAATTCTCCATTATTCTCCTCCTCCATTGTAAACTGGAGAGCTGGGTGAAGATTATTTAAACGCTCAGGGAATTCCAATGCCAGTTTCCGGTTGTGAAGTGCTGCGAATGTGTTATCCTCGTAACGCCTATAAAATTGGGGCCAATGCCTATCTGGAATTGTGTTCTCAGAATATCCAACAAAGATATTGGCTAGCACGGGGCCCAATGGTGAACCCATGGCGACTCCGTCCCTCTGTGCGTACATATTATCATTAAAACTGAACTGCACGTCTGATGTGGCTTTGAAAAGCAGCTTCTTGAAAAGATCTTGGGGTATTTGCGGGGCTGATAGTTCATCATCATGGTATAGCGACTGTATGCAGATATCTTTTGTTTCCTTGAGAGGCACGTTTGTAAAGAGGCTGACTAAATCGAAAGAGCACAGGAACAGCGATCCAGAGTTCCCTGCCTACTGCTGACCAAATTCCCTTACATTGTTCACGAACTCGCATTGTTAGTCTACCACATACATATACACACAATATTGTCGTATTTGTTCATTCATGCATTTACTCCTCCTGTAGCCCCCTTCTTCACCAATTACTCACCCGAACGGCCCCAGGGACTGTTCCGGAGGATCAGCGCCACACACGGGGACAAGTGTCGAACTTGCTTTAAGTTCCCTTTCTTCGTGGGCCTGCGGGACGATCGACCATGATGTTTCGGGGAAGCATTCTCTGGAACGCTCTCCCCTCTGATTTTAGAGTGATAGGTGTCCCTGGTTCCTTCCATAAAGCTCTTTCTGCCATTGATATACTTACCTTGTGAATATCCTCGTTATACCTTTATTATCTGCCATAAACTCCAACCTTCTCATCTATCAATCATTTGTGCATGCATGTCTAAAAATAAACCACGTATTCCTGACTCCATGAAATTGTCTTTCTATTCTTTGACTCCATGAAATTATTGCCTTTTTATTTCTGACACCATTAAATTGTCTTCATATAATTTTTTCTTTTTCTTCTTTTGGTCCTTTCTGTCTTATATTATTATCATTTCATGTTTTCCCCTGCATATCATCCCTTCATCATTCTGTGGGAACCTGTCCTATGGGCAGGTGCGAAGGCATCTCTGCGTTCATTTGGTGAAGTAAAATAGACAACAACAACAACAACAACAACAACAACAACAACAACAACAACAACAACAACAACAACAACAACAACAACAACAACAACAACAACAACAACAACAACAACAACAACAACAACAACAACAACAACAACAACAACAACAACAACAACAACAACAACAACAACAACAACAACAACAACAACAACAACAACAACAACAACAACAACAACAACAACAACAACAACAACAACAACAACAACAACAACAACAACAACAACTACAACAACAATACTCGCCAGGAGTAAGAAGCAAGTTTTGAAGCTCTGAGTGTCGTGACCACGTCCCCACCCTAGAAGCGTATATGCACTGCTATTCTAACTAGTATTACCTATCTAGCATGGATGACTCCCCAGTGCCAGGCAGCCCAAAGCCTGAGCCCCCAGAGCCACTGTGGAGGTCGATGTCGCCGGCCGAATTGAAGGCCAATACCGTAATATTTGTCGACGGCCTCGCAGGCCAGAAGATAGTAGAAATTGCGGACACCCTCATCGACCAGGGTTATGCTGACGTCGCCTCCGTCCAAATTACCGGATCAGCCTGTAAGGTAACGTTCTGCAGCCAATCTACAACTAAGTCCATTGCAGAACACGGTTTCTTTCTTGGCGAAACACATATTTCTGTCCGCCATTCTCTCTCCTTGCAAGTGCACATCTTTGACGTCCCGATTTGGATCTCCGATGCCGCCATCATACATGCACTCACAAAATACGGTACGGTGCAAGGCACCATTCGCCACGGCCGTACCCGCACAAAGTCGGGCGCATTTGTCGGAACAGGCGTACGCTTCGCAACTGTTCGCCTGAACAACGGCTGCAGGCAGGTGCCATCTTTCGTGCGGACAGCCGAAGGCAATACCTTCCGCGTGAAGCATGAGGGCCAGGCGCCAACTTGCCGCCTCTGCAACTCAGAAAATCACCTTGCCGGCTCCTGCCCTAAATCGAACAAGCTACAAAACACACGGACCCGCACTTCAACCAACACGCGGCAGAACCAAAACGAAGACCCAGCACCAGATCCAACACTGGCGACAGCCCTGCCAGGCCAGGCCAGCTTACCGTACGCACAGGCAGCGACCCCGGCCCCTGCCAGCACACTCGTACAGGAAATCACCGAAACAAGCAACACACAGACCCAAAACGACGATCCAGCACCAGATCCGACAGCCTCCACAGGCCAGGTCAGCTTACTGTACGCACAGGTAGCGTCCCCTGTGACCTCTGCCAGCTCACCCGCACAGGAAGTCACTGAACACAGCCAGCCCAGCAAAAGTGCAGACCAGCACGGACACACTGCCAGTGCCTCTGATGAGCACCAAACTCGTACTCGTAGAACTAGTACAGATATCGATCGAGCCGACGAGAGCGCAGTCCGCGCACTATCACCCAGCGCAAGCATGTACTGCCACTCGCCAGGCTCACCTCGCACGGCAGCGGAAGACGACAGCAACGACGAGAGCCTATTTGAGGAAGATGGAAATCGCGCCGAACAACTCCTGCAGAAGCTCAATGCAGCGGAGGAAGAATGGAAACTCTACACCGGACGTCGCAGACGCAGACGCCACCAGCTAGAGCAGACGCCCCCAGGCGCACAACATCCACATGCCTCTAAAAAACAAAAACAAAATAAGCTAGCTGACCAGAGTCCTACAGGAGTCACCATGGACCACGCCTGAACTGGAATAATCAACACCAGGTCCCACCAGTGAAAAAAAAAAAAAAAAAAAAAAAATTATGAAAAACGGAAATGAACAAAATAGCATCTCTTTCTTCTCCTTCAACGCTCGCAGTCTCTACCCCAAAATGGACGAACTGTCAGCAATAGCATCGTCAACAACGCCACCTTATGATGTCATTGCTGTCTCTGAAACATGGTGTACCCAGCACGATCCAGACTCCCTGTTTGCCCTCAGTGGATACACACTACATCGTGCAGACCGCCCAGACCGCCAAGGTGGAGGAGTGATTCTCTACGTGAACGACACTATACCTCATGAACTCGTCCCTACAACAACCCCAGACAGCTTTGACCTATTATCGCTGAAACTGTCAGCCAACGACAGCACCATCAACACAACATGCGTCTACCGACCACCCCGTTGCGACCATCAGCTATTCTGCCAGCACCTTGAGGAACTGATACGAGCCATACCAACAACAACGCAAAAGATTATCCTCGGTGATTTTAATGCAAAGAACGCCGCTTGGTGCCACTCTGACACGACAGATGCTGTTGGCGAGGATCTAGCAGTGCTGTTCCAAACTTACTCTCTACACCAACATGTCACATTCCCCACTCTTGTGCAGAATGGGCACCCTAAATCCTGCCTAGATCTCGTCGTCACGGATGTAGACAGCGACTATGTCCTTATCTCTAGTCTCCCGCAGATCGGCAACTCGGACCACCTATCCATCAGGGGTTTAATCAAGCCAGTCGCTGCACCCCCTCGAGCCGTACCACCTCCCACCCATAACACCACCCATTGGAAATGGTCAAACCCAAGCATCAGCAGTCTGAAAGCCGAAATTGAACGCACACAACTGCTACCGGAAGGTGACACCCTGAACACTACCAACATAGACAACCTGTGGCACTCATGGAAGGACAAAGTCCTCACTTGCGCCCGCAAACA